TTGTGCCTCGCTCTATTGTTGACTTCACTTAGTTTGTACTTCAACCATAGAGTTTTTAATCCTCAATATCACTCTACCTTCAGTGGTAAGAAAATAAAGACTTCTTAATCTATTTTCTTCTACAAAAAAAAAATCTCTTGCTTTATATTCCTCGCCATTTAGGTTTCGATTCTTCGACTACTTTAAAGAGGAGCATCTTAAATCAGATCGGAAATGAAAGCGGAAGTACATCCTGTATTAGAAGTCGAATTCATCGACTTCTTACCGAAGTAAATTCTTTGTAAATTGAGAATAGTTTTACCTTAATCGCTTCGTGTTTTCATTATTTATTCACCGTTGCAGATCGAAGAGAAGACTCTTAGATTATGGAAAGAAACTAATTCCAAAATAGCGTTAGTCAGGGGTCAAAGTTCGATCATCGCACGAGACTTCTCTACTTATCAAGCAGTACTAGAAAATCTGGGTTTTATCGTCAAGACGTGGTCGTCCGGCAACAACTCCGGTAAGGACCATTCCCGAATTTTTCTGTCCTTCGTTAGATAAGTTAACCTTCTTCTTTTCCTTCCTTCTTTGCAGACAATCTTCGACCTCATCTGTTGATCTGCTTCACCTTTTCCGATCCTTTAAACTGCTGGCAGAAGAGTAACAGGCAGGGTGTTAAGTTGAACAAACTCCCTTCTCTTCGTAGCAATATTTGGCAAAGAGAAGCCATTTGTTCCCTTCTTCGCAACTCTAACGTATCTTGTTACGTCTTGCCATCTGATTACGACGTCTTTATTTCATCTGCCACTTCTTCTAATCTCAATTGGTTAGTACAACTTCAATCTGGAGAGAATTGGAAGGTGCTGGAAGCATCGGACATTATCAAACAAATGGACGAGTAAGTTTACATTTTTATACTTTACATCTTTAATCCCTCTTTACTGTAGGTTATATTGTTTTCTTGGGTACCCCAAGCTTACATTTTAATAAAAAAAAAATATAATAAATTTAATACTTTTGCGATGTAAACAATGCTTATAACAGTATAAAAATCCTTAAATTAATTTCACTTTTAGTGCTTTTCATTATTACATAAAATATTTAATTTATTCCTCATAAATTCCTGATAAAACTTAACATTTTGGTTAGTTAAAGTAAATAAAAAATCGATTAATTTACTCATAAAAATTGTTTAAAAATGTAAACTTTTTTTAATATAAAGAAGCAAAAATTATACACGGATTCGTACTGAAAAGCATTAAAATTTTTTCTATCTTCCTGCATAATTATTCACTAGTTTACATTAAAGGTTTATAAAACTTTAAGATTTAAATATAAAAGAAAATTTTATTTTGAAATAATTTATTCACATGTAGATGTGTAATGTTCAAAAATCGTAATGTGACAGATTTCGTTCCATTCGAGCCATTATACAACCTTATCCATCGTTACCTCTAACAATACTGGGGCAACCTGTAACCCTTCGAATCTACATCCTCATCACATCGACCTTCCCTCTAAGGGCATACTTACACACGCAAGGAATCGTTTACAGAAGGCATTTGGTAGGGAATAGAACTTTAAGAAAGGTAAACTTTGCTTTATTCTCTACAATTCCACGTCACACAGGTGATGTGTTTCAGATTTTATTTTTTTTTTCTCTCTCTCTCTCTCTCTCTGTTCTTGCAGATACCGAGCCAAGTATGGAACATGAATCAGTTCTGGAACCATCTAAGGATTAAAAATGGCGATCATTCCGTCAGATTAGCTATAAGAAGATTGTTTGGTGTTCTGGTTCAGATTTTATTATCCCTAGAAACCCTGCTTTCTACCGAAGATAATGCTCAGAGAAGGCGAGATTTTTACTTTAAAAATAATGCCGTCATTTGCATATCAATTTTATTACTTGAAACACTATAAAATTTTCAATAGAAGTGTGAATTTATATATAAAATTTTCATTCTAAGACGTTCTTTCCTCTTCTTAATCAATTTTCATAAGAATCGTAAATCAGTTTTTAAGTAGAGGATTGGCTTAAATATTCTAAATTGACTAATTTATAATCATGATACTAACGTTAATTTTATTCGGAATATATCGTCTTTACTATTTATTATTTTATTCAAAAATTCTAATTTTAATTTTATGTAAAGATTTTTTGAAATTTATCTCTTAAAGTCAATAAGTAAAAATACTTAAAGCCATTACAATCCCCCGCTTTACGACTGATTTAAATTTTACATTATGACCGTATGAATGTATTATTTGTGCGATATTACATAGTTAAAATTGTATTTTATTATAGTAGATTCCTACTTTACAAATCCCCCGCTTCTACGACTGATTTAGATTTGCTGTTAATTAAATAAAATGCCATATTGGTCATCTCGTTTCCGGGAACATAATCATGGCGCTCACTTTACGGCGGCTTTTTATTAACCAATTAGGACGTAAAATCGTGGTCCTACTTTACTTTATAAACTATATAATTCGATATTTTAAATACGGAACCAGTTCTCGAGCGATTTTATTATTAACTTACAACACCTCTGGCTAAGAGCACTTCCATTCTTTAACAATTGATTCCCTCAAGTTCTGAAAGTGTTTAATGTAAATATTTTTCAAAACTTTCCATAACAATACGATCTACAACAATTATTCGGTGTAATTATCTAAATATATTACACTATAAATTAAAAAAATACGCCACTACGAAGCCACGAGTAAGCGTAAACAATACTTCACACAACTTAAACACCATCAATTAACGCTTAAACTCAGCGGCGTGTTAACTTATGGACAAAAAAAAGGGAGGAAATTGCCTAGGGCCCCGCTAGCAGGGAGCCCCAAACCAAACTTTTATAAGAAAATTTTTTCCCCGTAAAAATTCCCTCGAAAAAAGAAAATAGATACATGGAAACCCCTAATTTAAATTTGCCAGAGTCTCACGAAGCTGTAATTGCTTAAACTTTTATTAATTAAAGTACATTAAGAGTCAATTATCCATCCTGTAATCGTGTTAATTGCTACGTATAACGGTGTTACAGGTGTCAACAATGCTTCCAATTGTTAGGATTCGACATCCTGTTCGACATATCCCTGCACCCGTACGTAGTAGAAGTGAACGGGCAGCCAGATATGAGGCATACAGACAACGTCATGACCAATAACATCAAAAGGGGTGTAGTTAGTGACACCACGAACTTAGTATTCGCCATAGATTCGGTCAGCGATCGAGTTACAGAAGCATTAATGAGATTAGATCCGGAAGCAATTGGAATTCTGGTAAGTCCGTTTCTTTGCTTATCAAGTATCAATGAACGTGAGGGATGATAATGACGATGATGATGATTAATTTTCTCTTTCAATCAGGGCATTAACTGTCGGGTTAATCACGAATTTTGTTTGAGTTATACCGATTTAAATCTCTTATTGGATACCCAAAGAGAATATTTGAATAGAGGAGGATTTATTCAGGTCTGTAATCCTCTTTAACATTATAAATCATTTTAAAAATGGATTCTATATCGTATTTTTCACATTATATATCTTTAAGTTATAGTTTATAAAGTAAATAACCCTATAATTAATCTAGAATTTAGGAAATTCTCTACAATAAATTCAAAATCTTTAGTAAAAAGAAAGGTCTTACAAGTGTTATTTTTTCCCTGTTTTTTGTCAAAATTTACTTGTCTTCTCGACAATTTTCTTGTATAATATTTGCATTTTTTAAAGATGATTTATGTAGATCTATGCAAATTTATAAAGACCGATTCACTTATAAACAAGAAAGGGTTATGAAAAATTCTTAAAAATATAATTATATTTTATATAATTTAATACAAACTTTTCTAAAGTTGAATATAAAAATTTTACGAATGAATTACTTTTTTTTTTACTTTTAAAAATAATATAAAATTCAAGAATAGAGGGTGGCTCAAAAATCAGTTAACCGTTCTTTTGATGGGGGTTTTTTCCTATCAGAAATGTTATAGAACTGTGTTACGTCCCGAACAATTTTCTGTCATATTAATAGTTAGAATGGTTAACTGACTTTTGGGCTACCCTGTACAATTTAATTGATGAGTGTATTATATAGGCCTATTAATACTATAAATCAAATTTTTTCTAAATTAGATTTGTAAATTTTTTAAACAAAATTCTACTTAGTAAAGCATGGGACTTGGGTTTATGATCAGTTATAAATGTGGGCCCTCCTCTTCCCGAAAAGCAATTTTAGTGTTTACAATGCGGTTAACTGACTTTTGAACCGCGCTGTGACTAAACTTTAAGACAGGTTTAATATAGAAAAAAGTTTTTCTACACTTTAAATTGATAAAACAAAGCACTTTAACGTCACACCGTAAAGGGTTATAAACGGAGATACGACCGACAAAAATACTAAAATTAGAAATTAATATTTACATATTAGAATGTATTATTATAAAAAGAAATAACCCCCCCCGTAAACATCGCGGAAATTCGTAGATATTATCTATTATAAAATGAAAGAATTATTACACATGATTAATCATGGAAACGGATAATCCGATCATGTATAATCGAGATTCCATTTGCTCATGCACACGAGATTTAACACCGATTTTTCTTTTCTCTTACCTTTATTTTATTTTTTTCTTTTTAACACACGATTTTCGCAACCGAACAGTGAGTGAATACATTAACTATACCCAACGACTTTTTAGTGATAAAATCGTAATACGCACGGGGTGGCCTAAAAGTCAGTTAACCGCTGTGTCTTTTCTTTCAAACGCGTTTTAACTCGGTATTCACGGCTGTAAGTAAAAGAACGTACAGTACAAAAGCTAGTCGTGGTTAACCGACTTTTGGGCCACCCTCGCTTAGTTAATCGCTTCGTTGGGTCTCTTTGCTTAAGAAACCCAACGAAACAGAAATAATTGTACTGTACTTTAAATTCCTTGTATAAAGATTAGATGAAACATACAAGATGCCTCGGAATTAGCTGACGCTTGGGCCTCCTGATATAAAGTTTACTCTTGAATTTATAATATATATATATTATAAGTTTATATATATTATAAATTCAAAAATAAACTTTACATCAGGAGGCCCAAGCGTCAGCTAATGCCGAGGCATCTTGTACCGTACGTTTCATCTAATCTTTATGCAAGGAATTTAATGTACTGTACAATTACTTCTATATGGGCCCTCGTAAAGCAAAGAAGCCCAACGAAATGATTAATTTCCTCATAAAATGGTAGGTTTTCTTTCAAATGATTAGTTTTGGGGCCTCCTGTTGGTGGGAATGCCGGGAAATTTCTCTTTTTGCCCATAGCATAACGCCCCATGAATTTCTAGGCCTTTCGAATGTTTTGTTTAATCAGGACCAGATTTGTACGAACTAAACAACAAGCTGCGACTTAGGGCCTCGAGTCATAACTCTACAGTTTAGGACTTCCACATCTTTACATGTATCGTTATTTAGTGGACAGGCCCTTTTAAGTCCAGCCCCACATTTAGCCCTTATAAATAGAATTTAATGCATAATTATTTCTATTTACGGCTCTTAAGCCATAAGGCCCCAGCTGATTAGTTAAATTTTCTTATTAGTATTGAGAATAAACGTAGAAAAATGCGATTACTGAAGTGGTATGATTTATTTTTCTACATTTATCCACAAATTTGTAGTTAAAAATTAATGATTTAATGTTTAAAAGTTTTTAAAATTTTCAAATAATAAAGGATCTTAAATAAATTTAATTATTTTAATTTATAATTATCATTAAAAATACCAAAAAATTTCTTTATTCTTCTCCGATATTTCAAACATTTTACAATATTTTTGCTTCATTCTTTGTAATAATCGTTCGTCTAAAATGCCATTTCAAATTCTCTTTACATTCTAATTATCGGAATGATTGTAATGAAAATTCTTATTTTTATATCAATTAATTTAAAATCTGTTTAATTTTAGTTATAAATGACTGGAATATTATTAATTAAATTCATTTTTTTTCTTAATTTAATTAGTAAAAATAACATAAATCGTTATTTCGTGTCTCTTGTTTCTGCATTGAACAATTATTTTTCGAGTTATAAACCAATTTAATTGATTTCTAAAAAGTTTAATTAGAAACTTTTATAATTCGAAGGAGTTTGAATGGTTTATTTCACTTCTAAATGTTTATTTGTATGGATTTTTGATGTAACCGAGGGGACTAAACGTTACAATTGTTAGTTGCCCTGCATAGCCCCCATCTTGGTTACTCCAAGGAAACTGGAGTTATCATCTTTATCATGCTACTGGCATAAATCTATAAAAAGAATATTTCTAATAATGAAGAAAAATGTACGCTAATTATCATTTTAAACACGTTCGTATTTTATAATACAGCTATATCCATCCAGCAGTTCGACCAACGATTCTTTCTTGATGAATGTGCTCTTAAGGATGAAAGATGTCTCGCTTAAAAATCAAAAAACAGAGGATCAATGGATTAATCGTAAAGAATCTACAATTAATTCAGAAGGTATTGCTTTAATTTTACATTTTTTTTATACTCCTCGATGCACTTTAATAACATATATTTGCTTTAATTTTATAGATTACAGGATGTCTAGATGCAGTGAAGGTGAGTCGAGTGCACTCAAATAGAGTTTTTTTTTTTCTGTTAATTTTTAATAATTTAATAAATAATTTCAGATCCTTCGACGAAGCCTTACATATCGGACATACAAACGTTGCCATATCTCGAATTCCATCCGCCATTTTCACCTTACTACACAGATTATGTGGCTAATGTCACTTACGATCAACTAATTTTAAGAATTTCGGCTTCGTGCCAGTTTTGTCGTTGCGAAGTTCGGTTAGACGAGAAAGATGGACCTGCAAGGTACTTTAATTTAAGTCTAGAACCGTGGTGCGTTATCCTAACGGCAATTGTTTGGGTCCTGACCAACAGGGGCCCCTCAAATCAATCTTTTATAATAGATTGTCGGTGAAGAAACACACAACAATCGAACGACGATATCGGGAAATTTCCCGAAAAATTCCCCGAAGAAAAATGTCTGAAGACAACACTGTAAGTGGGACCCCCCTAATTCAAATTCGCCTAGGCCCCGTGAAGATGTAACGCGCCACTGGTTCCAGAATTGCCCGAGATCTTATTTATACTGAATTATGCTGAGTGTGTTTTTATATGTTTCATTGTTTAGTGCTACAAATTACACTCTAGGAGTGGGAGAAAATAAAATATATCTTCTAGTGATCGACATTAGCCATAGTAAACCTTGGTTGGTTAGCACCTATACCCTTACTGTCTACAGGCTGCCTTTAGTACACGGTGAAGCTCCCTTTGATCCTTCAGAGAGTCATCAAGTTTGCAGTTTAATTCAGGTAAAGATTATTAAAATGTTTAAATTATGTTTATATATTATAACATTGTTTAATATTAGGCAAATTACGGCACACTCTACAGCCTTGGCACATCTCCCGCGAGTCGTGAAGTCGATACAAACAAACAATCAGGATAATGACTCATTATCTAATTACTAGATAAGAATATTTGGAAGAATCATTAAACTATTTTCCCTGTTATCACACGACAGCACCATAAAGACCAATGAAAAAGTACAGTCACAACTTCGGAACCATTTATAAAGTGTTCGTAATCTTTACGTCACACTATCCTATCACAAGCCCGTTAACTAAAATAGATTTTTCCGTAATATCTAATCATTTAGGGTTATAAAATATAAAATTAAATGAAAAATGTTTGTATAATTAGCTTACGAATGAGTCTCTTGATGTATTTTAAACAGCTGAGGAAATTGTTAATGATAATAAAGTGTTATCACTTCATTATATTTTATGGCATTCACAGATTATGCTTTGGATTTTGTCACTTCTGATAATAATTAATCATTGTCATCAGTTTTATTCCTCTTTTAATCTTGATATATAGTTCCTGGATGATATAATTATGTAGATACATATTTTACAAAATGTAACAGTTTACTAACTAAATTATTAGAACTCATAGGACTAGACATAAATAGATTTAAAGAACTCCCTATATAACGCTGTCTGGGGAGATATGGTGACATTTTAGAAATGTAGAAGACATTCCTGTAAACATAAATTATTACCAAAAATCAATACTATGGAACTTTTGGCGCTGCAAGCAACAAATATTTTATTTATACAAGACATGCTGTACAGAGACAGGGGATAATGCTCAATGAGAATCTGGAGGTGTAAAGCGTGAAGTCCATGAACAGTATGCTCAATGAGCGATTGTGATTGCGTGTCAATGCTACACGGATCTGGCATAATGGGTACGATTAAAAAGATCCTCTTAGTGCCTGCATAGGTTCATCCAGGCCCACAATAAGGCAGGTGGGAGGTGGTCATGGGCCGCACTCGAAGGTATAGACCCAGAGCCAGAAACGGAAGGAAGAAGAAAGTGTTATTGAAGTACAGTAGTTAGATTGAAGGGGAAAATAAAGTGTGATAGGATAGTGGAAAGGTGGTCAAGGGATTCACGAGCACCTGCATCGCATTTATTTAAAACGAAACAGTGACAGTGATTTACATGCTAGATACATGAAGGTGTAACACAAAATAGCTAACGCGACAATAGCAATGCTTACAGACTATTTATGTATATTGGTTAAACAGGCATAACAGAACACAAATTGATATGCCAAAATATAGATGCCGTTTACAAAGGTTGGTGAGATAACTTACATTTTGAGATATAGAACATTTTGTATACGTACATAACTAATCAGATACACAGACTCTGCCTTTTGGTGACTTTGCAAATGATGCTTAGCCAGGCAGTTCAATCGTCCTTACCGAAGTTCAGTGGTTACAATTTTTATATACATATCCTTGAGACATTATGACAAATACATAATGCAATAGCAATATACCACGTAAACCAGATGAAATAAGTGCCACATAGAAAAGTGTTAAGAGAGTAAACTCGCGCAGATACTACGCTACAGGATGTGAATATACCACATTATACCGACAATTAGAGATGGGGTAACACCAATTGCCTGAGCAGTAGGGCCCTAGGAGAGGTTCAATCGAGGATTTTTATATCCGAAGCGAATTTCTTAAGGGCTTTGTATATTATTCTGTTGCTTACCAGAGTTTTCTTATGGCATGGCCATAGTTCGTTTTGTTTTTGGATTTCGCTGATTAGTTCCTTCTGCTGTAATTCATAGATGGGACAGTTTCATATGATGTGCTCTTTGTCTTCGTTGAGTGCACATGGGCACTTAGCATCGGTCTTTCATAAAAACATCCTAAGTTAACTGCAAAAGTTGCCGTCCTCAGTCATAATTTGAGTTGTTCGATAAGCAGGGACTAGATGCTTGCATTTACTCCGCTAGAAGATGTCAGGTATGAAACTATATGCATTGTGATTCGTAGGTTGCTGCCTGTCTGGAGCTAGGTCTTTGCTTGCAGCTTTGCAGTTGATACAACATGGTGGTTGTTCCCTCAGTGCAGTCTCAGTACTTATGACTCTTTGAGCAGTGGCTGCAAAACTGTTTATTGGTTAAATCACGTGCTATGTGATTTAACCCGCAGCACTTGAAGCATCGCGTTATGTGTACATAGTCATCCAAGAGGACATTTGCCCATGAGATCGAGATATACTTTTCTTTTATAAGTTGACTTCTTATATACGGTGTAGTTGAGAGGACTATGTGCTGGCAATTCTCCCTTGTATTGCCCCTCGTAATCGAAATACTGACCCTTGGGGAAGACACAAAGTCTTCCTTGCTTATGATACTTAGTGACGTGTTTTGCTCATATATCATAGTGGTGATGTTTTCATCCTCAACAGAGTTAGGAACGTTCAAAAGGATTTCCTCCGATATCTTTGTCCTTACATGCTTGCGAACTTCCGAAAGCTCCTCAATTGCCCGCTCCAAAACACACTCATCCCGCCTATTGCTAGTGCGAAAACATATGCCTTCCCCCTCACCTGCTTTGTGGCTGTCACTTTTATTTGTAGTTTATCTGGTTTCACTTCAGTTATTATTTCTTTTTGAATGATTTCCATGTTAACACTAGCCCGTTCTGTTTCATTAGGGTAAACAATAAGCGCATAACTGCTGCCACTACCTTCGTATCTGATCTTACTATTCATTAACCTAGATATGGCTTTCGTAATGTTGCTTAGCGGGATATTCGATTTAATTATATCTGAATAAGTAACTGGCTTTGGACTGCCTTGCTGGCCCTGAGACTGGGCGCTAACCATGTCCACCTTCGAGGCCCTGAGTTCGACCAGACTGTCATACATCTCGTTGATGGCGGAAAACATGTCTGTTACCCTCTCCTTGTCTCTTTTCTGCTACTAAAGGGACAGTCAGTGGAATAATGCTCGACATTCCAAACACCATTGTCAAACTTCTAGGCTTACAGGAAAGCGGCGCTGAACGTCCGACGTACACGTTTTCGCGTTTAAAACTTCTTCGGCCTCAACCTCGCTAGTAACCACAGAAAAACTGTGCTTTAAACTTAAATCGAATAAGGTTGCCCGTCGCACTATTCTGGTAACGTCTGTGAACCGTGGCACTGGACCAAAGTACAGTTGTCCCTTGATAGTCCGACGTTTTGTAATCCGACATGCCTCTCGTCAAGGTCACCGTAGTCCCCGTCCCGTTACGTGTCTGCTTGCACAGAAGCGTGTCGCTATACATACCGTATGTACTGTACATTTATTGGCTTCCATATTTCTTTTAATAAACATATTTTATTTAACCGAAATGGGTGTTTCATTTCCATATTAACCTAGGCAGCATTTTACTCAGAAAACGTAGGAATATAGTAGGCTACTGCTAGCGAAACAATGCCAAATATGTCATCATTTTCGGTAATCCGGACACTTTCGGTAATCCGGACACTTTCGGTAATCCGACAACTCTTTGATCCCATACCTGTCGGTTTATCAAGGGACAATTGTACTTGCCCGACGCACTAGTCCGACAATGATAGCAGAATGAACCGAAAAACTTTGAGTGCGCAGTAGTCCTTGCGCGGGTTGTCCCGATGGTAGCCCGAGCTACCCGAGATGGTTAAGATATAGTCCATAATAGTATCCAATGGTACTTAATATTTACCCTGGTCTGTATCCTAGTGAGTATTGTCTGTCCGGTTGTATCCTTGATGGAATAATCCTGGGACGCCATACTGTTCGCTTGAGATGTTGATGTAAACTGTTACACACCGAAAGCTTCTTTGACATCCTGCCAGTAAGGTTCGCCTTCCAGACGTGGCAACCAAAAACCCAACCAGTGCCACAGCTGCACATTTGGTTTCAAAATTTTGGAATCAAGTTCAAAAATTCATTGAGCATTTCCAATGTTAGAGGTATTGTCAGAATAAACTTCATTTCATTCGGACACACAATTATGAAGTTTTTCAGCAATCCTCTATTTTGTATCAAGGATGTTCGTGATACGACGACACATTCCCCATTCTCATTGAAAATAGTCACTTCGTGAAAGTTAAATCGTTGTTTTTTCACGTTTGACATCTTATTTCGCCTCTTGTAATAATACGTGTATTAGTAGAAACTCGTACGTATAATAAAGAATATTCTCCGAATCTCTCAAATTTTAGTCAACGATTAACTTTCTCAATACTTGACACTCAAAACGAACTGATCAACACGGAGCACTTATCACACAAAATAGTCACACGATTTATAATGACACAACCATGAAAATGTTCTTCCAAGTGTTCAACAGTTGCTCCATAATCAACGTTTATAACAAAAAAACAGATCTTCCGTCAATTTCTATTTTTTCTTCGAGTGATAAATAGTCATAGTCATTTGTTTTTGGAGGACTCTCAGTCATTTGAATCTCAAGTTCAAATGACTGACAGTCCTCCAGAAACAAATGACTATGACTATTTATTACTCGAAGAAAAAATAGAGGGATAAAAACAAATGTACAGTAGAGCATCGATTATCCGACCCCCGATTAATCGTCACATCGGTTAACCGACCGTTCTAGTCGGCAAATTTCAAATATCCGCTAGTGATGTGGCGCTACAATATTTGGCTATTTTAATATTATTTTTGTTAAATTTTTGCGTGTTTTAGCTGGCATCAATGGCTCGACCATTGAAGGTAAGCCAGCATTTAAACGAGACTTAATTTTCTAATTATGAGTGGTTGTTTGTTTCGTGAACAATAAAATAATTTAAAAATAATTTTTAACGATACAATAGCGACGATTATTATTTTTAAAAAAATTGTTAGGTTAAACATCGATGAAAATTCAACGCGAAGTTGTTTAATAGAGATATACTAATTACATGGGATATACTAATATCCTTATATACTATACTAATAACGTATTTTTTTCCTTCTTTTCGGTTATCCGAATTTTTCAGTTATCTGACCAACCTGAGTCCCCAATTGAGTCGGATAATCGATGCTCTATTGTGTTTGTTTTAACTTTTCAGATTCTTTTTCTATCTCTTTAATCTGGCTTTTATG